AATGGCATCATTGCTCCACTGGGTGTGTGGAAGAAGGAAGAGGCAGCATGGCAGCGATCCAGACGACGGCCATCGAGGCCATGGACGAAGCGGACGTGTACGAGCTCATGTACCACATGAAGCACTTCTGCGAGACCAAGCCCGAGGAGGCAGCGCAGATGCTCAACGAGCACATTGAGTTTGCTCGGGCGCTCGCGCAGGCGCAGCTTCGCCTCGGGATGTATGACGCCCAAGCCGCCGAAGCTGCGACACAGCCCACGGCGCCGACCAGCAACCAGCGCCCAGTCGAGATGCAGTTGGACCGCGAGCAGCAAGAGCTCCTTGAACAAGTCCAGAACCTCGCGCCCGAAATCATCCAAGCGCTACCGTTCGAGCAGCGCAAGCAGATCATGGAGCTTCGCGAGGCCATGGGACTGCCGCCCGTCTAGAAGCCACGTCGAATGCAATGCCAATACACATATCTATTTGATCGACATGCGCCACCTCGCTTCGCTAAGATCGATCCCACGGCAACGCACCGACTCCTCGCTCCGCTGTGTTGGCACACCTTGACCAAGGAGCTCTCGACCTACAGCTGCTGCGACCACATCAACTTACAGATGAATGCTACAGGGTATCGATGATCGAGCATCACAAGAGTGGGTACGCAGCATCGAGATGAGGACATTCGATCAGCTTCTTCATGCAAAGGCATCCCTCATGCATGCGTCGGTGTCGCTTGACGACTGTCCATCTTCTCTGAGAGACGCTAAGAGAAGGGCTCCTGCTTTGCCTAGAGCCAAGTCCACTGCCTGGCACCAAGACCATGGCCCACACGTCGTGGCCTAGCTGGTGCTACGTCTCCTCGCGCGGTGGCTGCTTGGCATGTCTAGCTGCTCTTGGTTGTCTGCAACGACTTGGCGTCCTGCCGTCTGGTTGAAGTGGCGAGATTGCAGGAGCAGACAGCGAATTAAATTAATATGGTCGCAGAGAAATGACGCAAGACCCCAAGGCTCGGATGACAACTACTCGACTTGGCGGTCGCAGCCCTTAACATGGCGCCCGACGCTCGTGCGATGCGAGTGCAGTGCGAGGCTCAAGACGGAGCTCGAGAGGCCGAGGCTGCACATGGTGGCATCGCTTACACGGAGGCGCAGCGCGAGGATGGTCGCAATCGGAAGCTCGAGGAGGTGCTTGAGCGTCGTGGACGCGGACCCGCGCTGGAGCTTGTGGTCCAGCACGACCCCGAGGAGAATCGAGACGAGCCACATTGCGTGGCTGTACCGCGAGAGGTGCAGCGCCATGGGCACGCCCTTTATCGCTATTGGCTGCGGGAAAAAGATGGAGAGGTTCTCAAAGAGGAACATGAAGAAGAACGTGAGCACGCGCGCCTGCCGCAGCCGGCGCACTGTGCTATCGCGGTCGCGCAGCGTCGGGAACAAGACGTACATGTCCAAGAACCGGAAAAGGCGGTTGGCCTTGCGCGCCGACGCGGTCAACGACTCGATCGTGCGCAGCCAGCGCAGGCCACAGGGCTCGACCGGAGCATCAATATCCTTTGGGTACACCGAGATGCGCACCGACTTGGCCGAGTACTGGAGGAAGCGGTAGACCTTGGTCCGGCCCTCTACGCCAGCACCAATGGCTCGCAGCTCGGCGCGCCGAGGGCCTACCTGTCGTTGAGAGCAGGGTCACGACGGCCGCGACGACGCTCGGCGACTCCATCGATGCTCCGCCCACTTGGCCGTTCCAAACACGTCCGTGTCTCGGCGTATCCGGATTTTGAACTATCCGTAATTCCTGCCACCCACCACCTCGTCACAACATCGAAGCTTTCCGCGCCAGCTATAATCAAGGGTATATAAGAGATGCATCTCTTATGAACCCTTGCTATAATCTATCTATTCGTTTGGGGGTCTCGACAAAGCCTCCGACGGCAGGCGAGGATCAGACGGCAGGACAGCGTATGATACGCCCAGCTGCAGCGGTATCGTTGGCTCGACAAACGATTTAGCGACTTGAAAGTGAACCGGTGGTACAGCCCAACACCGCATACACGTTCTTTAAGCGGTTGAAGGAGACGTGTCTGACGGAATCTCACGTCCACAGTGCGTCGTTGAGCAGCCGAAGCACGGCCTTCACGACTCCTCGCTTGAAGGCGTCAAAATTTCATTCTGCTTCCGACGGTGCACTGAGCATGGCCTGACTGGACAGTTGCTCGGTGCGTCGTCAGCTCCTGTACTGTCCAACAACGTCTCGTGTTGGCGTTCCCAGATGCTGGTCATACACGGCCTCATAGACACGTCAGCACCCAGGCGAGCGCGACTGATCGACGCTAGTGGACATGATAACGTACTCGTAGCGCGCCATGCTATGAACAACGTAGCTGTGAAGTAGGAGCTACACGCGACAGCACGCGACATTGCACTTACTCTTCTCGGATCTTGGAGTAGACATTGGATGGCGCCATGTATTTGCACAGCAGATGCTCGAACGACGACGACGACGAGCCGCTGACGACCGATAGAGCTCCAACGCTCGCGCGATAGAGCTGCAAGGGCTGTATACGACCCACACAACGCCACCGCCTTGCTAACGTGCACGACGTCATACTACAGTGGGACTGTGGCGTCGCCATTACGCATGTACCCAGCACGAAAGGCGTGTCCAACGCCGGCATGCGTGTCAACCCATTGCCTTAAAGCAGTACAGTACAGCAGTGTCGGCGTGGACATCAACGTGGTTTTGAACAGCGTACGAGCTGCACACTACGTTTTAAGGGAATATGGTAACCAGCCTCGCCTCGCTGCCCATTGTGGTTTTGGCGCAATGGGGCACACGATCGCGCTCCTGCGCAAGAACCTCTGGCTCAAGAAGCGGCACCCGATCGCGACCTTCTTCGAGATCCTCTGTCCGGCGCTCGTCTTCATCGCGATTGTCGTTGTGCGCTCGCGCGAAGACGGGCATGGCTCCATGTACGTGCCCGGGTGGCAGAACAACACGCTCTTTGGCCGCTACGGCAACGACTATGGCGGAAGCAGCGACTACAACGGCGTTCGGTTTCGCGAACGCGGCGTCTACTCGATGCTGCAGAACGCACGCTACGTGCCGCGCTCGGTCCAAGACTGCGTCACGAGCCTCGCGCTGAACGGGTCGGTCGACGCCAACTGCCAAAAGGCGCTCAGTCTCCGGCCCAAGCTCGCCATCGTGCCCGACAACACGTACACGCGGGCGTACCTCGGGGCGACGCTCGCGCAATGGTACCCGAAGCTCTCGCTGCCAATGAAAAACGCAAAGGGCAATCTCAACCTGACGATCGCGGGCCTCGAGGACTTTCTCATCTATTTCGACTCGGAGGCGGCGCTCGAGGCGTACGTGACGGCGCCCGACTACGGCCCCAAGGTCGACTATTCGTGGTGGTCGTCCAGCTACGGCGAAGATAAGAACGCGACGTACAACCCAACGCTTGTCGGCGCGATCGTCTTCAACAAAATGCCGTCCGAGGACCAGATCGGCACAGCGACCGACATTGAGTACACGCTGCGCTTTCCGCGCGCCAACGACGACAGCTACTACCAATCGACGCAGAAGACAACAAGCGCCCCGGCGACCTTGCGCCGGTACGACCCGCTCTCAGTTGACTTTTACAACAGAGAGATGGCGGCCTACACGACGCAAGGCTTTGCGACGCTGGATACGATGCTCACGCGCGTCCTCAACTGCCGGCCCGTGTGGGACGCGGCGAATAAGCGCACCAACGGCACGTGCAGTGTCACCGCCTCGACCGCGACGGCTATGGCCGACAGTGCGCTGCGTGCGGTCGCCACGGCCGACGTCCAAAGCCTCATCGGGGCTCTTCCGCTCGACTACGACATGGCGCGCAATTTGAGCGCCGCGGAGGCCGCGTTCTCACCCGAGGTGCTAGCGGCGCTGCTGCGTCCGCTGCGCCAGGCGCCGCAGCCGTTCTTGGGCGGCGTCACCGACACGTTTCCGACCGGTGTCTATGGCTACGACTACTTTCTCCAGCCGGGCCAGATTGCGGACCTTGGCATCTGCCTCGGCGCGGTTGTCTTTAGCGTCCTTCTTCTCGGCAATGTCGTCGGCGCCTTTGTGCTCGAAAAGGAGACGCGGACGCGCGAGTTTATGCAGGCGCTGGGTCTTCGGCCGTCGGCGCTCGTGCTCTCGTGGTTCCTCTTGTACGCGGTGATTGTAGCGTTGATTGCACTCGTTCAGACGCTCCTCGCAGTCTACGGCAACCTCTTTCGCCACTCGAGCGCGCTCTGTGTCTTTGGCCTCTTGTTTGCATTTGGGCTGACGTTGATTGGCTTTGGCTTTTGCGCGTCGACGCTCTTTACGTCGGCCAAGACGGCCACGTACACGACGCAGCTCGTGTTTCTGCTGCTCTCGATCGTCGCGTTTGCGCTCTCGGACGAAATGTCGGAAGCGACCAAGACGGCCGCGTGCCTCCTCCCGCCGACTGCGGTCGTCCTCGGCCTCCAAGTGATCATCAAGGCCGAGTTCTACACGCGCGGCATTACGCTCGCCAACGCCGGCGCGCTCCAAGCCAACCGCATCCGCTTTTCGACCACGGTGGCCATGCTCTTCCTCGATGCGATCTGGCTCACGCTGCTCGGGCTGTACCTCGATGGCGTCACGAACGGCCAGGCGTGGTACTTTCCACTGCAGCCGTCGTACTGGCGGGCGCCGACATTGACGGCCAACTCGCAAGAGTCGACCGAGAGAGCCCACGACAGCGCGGATATCGAAGCTCCCGAGCACCACTTGGCGCAGCAAGAAAAAGACGGTCGCGCACTCGTCGTGACGCGGTTGCACAAGACGTTTGGGCCGCACGTGGCCGTCGACAACTTGAGCTTGACGTTCTACGAAGGCCAGATCACGTGTCTTCTCGGGCACAACGGCGCTGGCAAGACGACAGCCATCTCGATGCTCACGGGCATGCTGCGCCCGACGGCCGGCGACGCGACCGTCCACGGCCTCTCGCTCTCCAAGGACCTTCGATCGATTCAGCGCTCGATGGGCGTGTGCCCTCAGCACAACATTTTGTACGACGACCTCACCGTCTCGGAGCACCTTCGCTTCTACGCGGCCATCAAGGGCGTCGCGGACGTTGCGGCCGCGGTCACTGCGACGCTGGCCGAAGTCGATCTCGTCGACAAGGCCAAGGACAAGGTCAAGGCACTCTCCGGTGGCATGAAGCGCAAGCTCTCGGTGGGTATCGCACTCCTCGGCAACAGCAGTGTCGTCTTCCTCGACGAACCCACGTCGGGCATGGACCCGTACTCGCGCCGCAGTGTCTGGTATGTGACATTTTCAGAAAGGGGTAGGGTACTCAAAGTGCGACTAGGGAGCTGCTGTTACGCAACCGGTCCAAGCGCATTATGATTCTGACCACGCACTACATGGAAGAAGCCGACGTGCTCGGCGACCGCATCGCCATCATGGCCAACGGCGCGCTCCAGTGCGTCGGGTCGGCGCTTTTCTTGAAGAATCGGTTTGGCGCTGGCTACACGCTGACGCTGGTCAAGGCCGACGCCAGCAGCGCCATGGACGCCGTGTCGAGCCTCATTATGACGCACGTACCGTCGGCCCTCCTCACGTCCAACGTTGCGTCCGAAGTGTCGTTCCAGCTGCCGACGCACGCCACGTCGTCGTTCCCGGACCTCTTTGCTGCGCTCGACGACGACCTCGCTTCGTACGGCCTCACGTCGTACGGTATTTCCGTCACGACGCTGGAAGACGTCTTTATCAAGGTCACGAGCCGCGCGACGGTGCCGTCTGCGCCGGCCACCGCGTCGGTCGCCGTGCCGATCGCACCGCCCGTGCTCGTGGCCCACCGCACGTTTTTCGGGCAGACGTCGGCGCTGCTCGCCAAGCGGTTCCACGTCGCCAAGCGGGACAAGCGCGCGTTCTTCAACACGACGCTGCTGCCCGTGCTCCTCATTGCGATCGGGTTTGGCGTCATGAAGTACATGTACGAGCGCGACTACGTGCCACTCGAGCCGCGTATCGTCATGGATGCGTCCCAGTACCCCGACAACGCGGCGAGTCCGACGCCGTTTGCGTGCCTCACCACGTCGCCAGCGTGCGCCGCCTTGTTCTCGAGCTCCAAGTTTACAGGCTCGACGCCCGAAGAGGTGCCGTACATGGGGACGACTGCGTATACGACGCCGACCGTCAATGTCTTTGGCTACATATACGGCGCCCCGACTGCGCCGCCCGAGTGCACGTACAACACCATTTACCGTGGTGGCGACCGGCCGCCGTGTCTCTCAGCGCCGGCGAATCTCTCGAGCACGCAAGGGTTTGAGCTCCGGTTTGGCGAGACGGTGTACAACCGCAGCATCAGCTCGGTGCGCACGCAAATGGGCGGGTACCTCGTGCACGTGGCACCCGAGGACAATGTGTATAGCTACGTGCTCTTTGCGAACGCGTCGTCGTCGCACGCGGCGCCAGTCTACAAGCGCCTACTGCACCAAGCGCTTTACCGGACGTTCTCGCAGTCGTCGTCGCTGCAGCTCGTGGTTGCATCGCACCCGCTGCCGACAACGTTCAACGACAAGGCCGCGCGGGTCGCGAGGCGCCAGAACTTTGGCGACACGATGGGGTACCTTGGCCTTGTGTGCTTTATCTTTGCGCTCTCGTTCTTCCCCGCCGGTATCATGACGTTCCTCGTGAAAGAGAAGCAGCTCACGGCCAAGCAGCAGCAACTCGCATCGGGCGTCTACCTCTCGGCGTTTTGGGTCGCCAACTTCATCTGGGACGTTGTGAGCTTCTTGCCGGTCGTTGGCATTCTCCTCGCGCTCATCCTCGGGTTTCACATTCGCCCGTACACGTCCGAAGCCGAGCACGTGTCGCATGCGTTTGGCGCTGTCTCGGTGCTCTTCCTTCTCTCGGGCGTGGCCTTGATCTTGCTCACGTACGTCGGGTCGTTCTTTCTCAAGGAGCCTACGTCGGCGCAGTCGATCACGGTCATTGTCAACTGGTGCGTCGGCTTTGGCTTCCTCGTCATCGAAGTGCTCATCAAGTCGATCTCGTACGAGAAATCTGGTGCCGCTGTGTGGCGCATCTCGCCGCTCTACGCCCTTGGCGACGGGCTCATGAACATGACGGAAACCCGTCCGCGCTGGAGTCCCAACGGCTCCGAGTCGAGCGCCAAGGTCGACGCGCTCTCACCTGCTGGTGTCCTCATCGACGTCTACTACTTGATCGTCATGGTGTTTGTGTTTGCACTGCTCGTCGCGATCTTCGAGTACCGTGTCACGTTTCGCATTCCCAAGCCCAAGAAGGCCGACGCGCCGGGCGACCGGTCGGGTGCACCGCTCGACGTCGACGTCGCCGCCGAAGCTACGCGCGTCGCAGCCTTGGCACCGACCGACGCAGCCGTCACGATGACAGGTCTCCGCAAGGTCTTCAACCAAGGGCTCCTCGGCCGCCCGATCACCGCCGTCGACAACTTGTCGATCGCGCTTCCCGCCGGCGAGTGCTTTGGCTTTCTCGGGGTGCGTCACGACCTCCATCGCGTTGATAGGCAACTGACACGAGTGGTCTAGGTCAACGGCGCGGGCAAGTCGACAACGCTCAAGATGCTCTTGGGCGAAGTGCTCCCGACCGACGGCGCCGCGCATCTCGGTGGACTGCACGTGATCAAGGACCAGAACAAGGCGCGGCAGCTCGTCGGGTACGTCCACCAGCTTGTCGCAGCTCATCGATCGCTCACATGGCGCTGCTTAGGTACTGCCCTCAGTTTGATGCGCTCTTCGACTTGCTCTCGGTACGCGAACACTTGGTGCTCTACGCGTCGCTCCGCGGGCTCCAAGGCGCTGTCGGGCAGACTGCGGTGACGGCGTTGATTGAGAAGCTGCACCTCGGCGCGTTCGAACACGTGCTCGCGAGCAACCTCAGCGGCGGCAACAAGCGCAAGCTCTCGGTCGCGATTGCGATGATCGGGTCGCCGCCCATCATCGTCCTCGACGAGCCGTCGACCGGCATGGACCCGGTCTCGCGCCGCTTCATGTGGGAGCTCATCTCGGACATTTCGACAAATCAGCGCGAGTCGACCGTCCTCCTCACGACCCACTCGATGGAGGAGTGCGAAGCGCTCTGTTCGCGCGTCGGGATCATGGCCGCCGGCGTCCTTCGCTGCCTCGGGAGCATCCAGTACCTCAAGTCGCGCTTTGGCCACGGCCTCGTGCTCGACGTCAAGCAGGCGCTGCCGTCCGACGCCGACGTCGCCGACTTCATGGCGACGCACGCCGTGCCACTGACGCTGACGATGAAGGCGATGACCGAATGGTGCACGCAACTCGGGCGACCGGACCGCGCCGACGCGCTCTCGCCAGCGCACCCGACGGGCTTTTTCCTCGAGCAGCTGGCGACGACCGATGGCCACGTCGATGCGTCGTCGTTCTGCACGTGGTGGCTCTGCGAAGACCATTTTGACGCGCTCGTGCGCCATGTGGCGACGACAACGGCGAGCGACCCCGATGTCGTCGTCCGCGAAGGCACGTTTGCGCGGCTCAAGCTGCCGACGTCGCTCGGTGTCGCGTTTGGGCTGGTCGAAGACGCCAAGGACGCACTGCGAATCGTCGAGTACTCGGTGTCGCAGACGTCGCTCGAAGCGATTTTCAACTCGCTTGCGAGTCTCCAGCCGACGACGACGACGACGACGGCGGCGCGCAACGGCCCGTCGTACGCACTCGTGCAGACCCCAAAGGCGTCGTAGGTGCTGCTACGATGGTGCATAACACGGTGTCATACACGTTATATCTCTGTGACATGAGCACAACATGGACGTGTTGTCTCTGGACCGAGATAGGGCAAAGCATGGGCTGGAAGCGAGGGTGCAAGTGGTGGTGGGCGATCACTGGTGTGACGCAGCGCTGTCATCCGAGCTTGTGGTGGAGTCATCGTGCTCATCGCATCGATGGGACAGGAACGAGGTAGAGAAGGAGGTATTCACGGGCGTGTTACGACGGGTGTCTCGCAGAGACCTATAGAAAGTAGTCGGGCGTCCGGCGGCTCACGTGCGGCTCGCCACGTCGCGGCGCCGGGTCGAATTGCAAGCTACCATGCGCTTAGCCTCCAGTGCAAGGTCCGTTGGTGGTACGTACAAGGTGTACTTCATCTGCTCGTCGATCTCCATGATGGCGGCTTCGTTGCCGCAGCGATAGCAGTAGTTGGGCGCGCTAAAGATCGTGACGACGTTCATCTTGTGCGACCAGTTGTAGCCCTGGACATGTCATGCGCATGAGATAGGAAGAGGACGACAACGCACCTCCATGACGAGCTGGTGGGCACGCGACACGAGCGTAAGGCCGTTGGCGTGGTTGAACTGATCTGAAATATCTTGGCCAAAGGTATAGCCCGCGCCACGCGGCGAGATGCCCCAGCCCGACCGGTCGTCAGGGTCCGACCAAAGCAGGTCGCACATCGGGCCCTCGTGTGGCACTTCCTGGACGCGGTCCAACGCACGAATATGATCGAGCGTGTCGATCGACGGCGACAGGCCGCCATGCAAGCAAAAGATCTGTATGCGCCATGACGGTCAGTCGTGCTGGCCTATGGAAGAAGCGATACGCACCTGGTTCTCGACGACGGCCGTGAGCGGGAGGTAGTCAAAGACGTCGGTGAACTGCCGCCACACGTTGGGCGTGCCATACTTGCGGAGACACTCGTCGTAAAAGCCGTAGACTTGTGTGATCTGGCGCGACTCGTGGTTGCCGCGCAAGATGAAGATGCGGTCCTTGTAGCGCACCTTGAGCGCGACGAGAAGCGTGACCGTCTCGACCGAGTAGTAGCCGCGATCCACGTAGTCGCCCATGAAGAGGTAGTTGGTATCCGGCGCGTGGCCGCCAATGCGGAAGAGCTCCATGAGGTCGTGGAACTGGCCATGCACGTCGCCGCAGACCGTGACGGGGCAGCGGACCGGCTGCACATTGGACTCGTTGCGCAGGACTTCGCGCGCCCGCGCGCAGAGTCGCATGACCTCGGGCTCCGTCAGCGGCTGGCACGTGAGCAGCTTCTCGCACCACGCGTCCAGCGTCCCGACGTCCACGTCGGCGACGTTCATCGTCGCTCCGCCACCGCTCATGCTCGGTCGAAATCAATGGGTCGAAATCGGCTTTTGAGACCCGCGCAAGTTCGGATTGCACCGGCGCACTTAAGGAGTTTCAAAATGATCTTGGTTTTTGTATGCAAGACTTGGAGTGCCAGTCAAGAAGGCGAACGGGAAGGGACTGTGCTCTCGGTCCCTCCGATCGCGATGGCTACGAGCGAGTGACGCACAGAACTGCAAGACGAAACGCCAAGAAGACCAATTCTGTACATTTTTTAGGATGATATCAATGACACTTTGAGATAAACCCGAAACTAAACTAAACACACTATTCCAGTCGTCCCATTCGACCAGCTGGCATACAGTGGGCCGAGCTAGTGGACCGATAATCGGGTCACTTTGCTAACCCTAACCCAGAAACGCGCGACAACTAGCTTGCGGCCAGAGCCTGAGCGACCGTCAGTTGCGCATTCCAGCACCCGACGCATTTAGCGAGACGCCGACCACCTACACCAATGGGATTCAGCGCCTTGTGTCGTCGGTACCAATGATGCCTGGTCTTGTGGCCTGGTGGTCGCGTGGTCGTGGTGCCACGTGTGGCAAAGCGGACACTGGCGACTATATATTTGTTCTCTTGTACTAGTACCTAGTACGAGCACTAATAACTAAAGTCGATACCAACGGGTAGGTTGAGAGGACTTTGTCGAACCGAGAGCACAGCGTTTGCACTTGTCGACTGATACATTGATAGAAATGGCCACTACACACCGGCATTGTATTCAAGTTCAATTTGCAACGCATCAGAACCAGTGCGTGCACGACGAGTGTCGATCCCACGACCGATCGTAACATCAAACGTGCATCTCCGCTCGACCTGTTGTCCTTGGGCAACAGCACGTCATGTTGTACGATGGTCCACCCCTTGAGCCCCTATCCGAGGTAGCGTCGGGCTTGGCAAGGTCGTTGACAGCCTTGTCTCGAGATGAGACGTCATTGACCTCTCCCTGGCGGCTCGTACGACGTTGGCATAAGACTTGCATTTAGTAACTTGAGAGATATATAATCATTATTGGGCGTGCAACCACGGGAACGGGTCGACCGCCTCTGCGAGCGTGAGCACCGCATCGAGAATGGATTCATCGAGGAGCTCTTGTTTGATTTCGCTCAGCCCAGCCTCGAGCTTGATGTTGGGAAAGGCGTACGGCACGGCCGGGCGGTGGCGCCAGCAAAAGCCGCCGCTCCGGGCGTTTGTGGTGCAGTCGCCAAAGGCGCAGGGCCGGCCACCGCCGTGGCGGATGCACTTGCCGTTGCGGTGCGCGACGCTGACGCAGTTGTCGACCGAGCAGCGAGGCTTTTCGCGGGCGGCGCCGTGACGCGAGCAGACGCCGTGGAGGCGCGCGTTGGCGACGCAGCCGTGGACCGAGCAGCGCCGCTTGCCGCCGTGGCGCACGCAGCGCTGGCGCGCAAACACTTGGTTGTGGCAGCCCGACTCGATGCACGGGCGGCGGCTCTTGTGGAAGACACACTGAGCCGCACCAGGAACGATCGGGTTCTCGCAGCCGTTGAAGAAGCAGCTCATCGTTGTTGAAAGGCGGAGGCAAAACAAAAAATGATGTAGTTTGCATCACTTTGCACTAGTATTCGAACTCGAGCACATAGTATCTCACATGCGCCAAAGTGCCATTCGCACGAGATAGTGGTATCACACATGGTACGAATCCGGCTTGCAGACGAGCGAGCACAGCGCACAAGGAACCAAGGACAAGGAGCTTCAAACCGTAGATCGCTCGTGTAGAAGACCGAAGAGCGACGGCGCGCTCAAGCCAACGACGATACTACGTGCTTGCAGAGTTTGCGTGGTGGTGGTGGATTCTTCCAAGGGATTTAAAATGCACCGATAGGGAACGCGAGCGCTTCTGGCCTCATCCACTGGCTCGTCTTACGTGGGGCGCCCGCCGCCGTCTCCGATCACAAGTAATCGTCGCCTGTGATTGGCGCAACACTATGGCGTGCTGAGATCTGGGTGTAGCGCCTGGATTCAGATATTACGACATTTCCTTTTCGTCTACTGGAGCATTCGAAGCAACCGCCTTCGTTACATTCCGTCGAGGGGACATGGAGTCGAAAGGACAAACTGCGCTGGTGTACCATTAAACCAAATACACGGTAGCGCATGGGCTGTGGACCAGTACGACGCGTTTGACGACGACTGTACGTTTACAGCAGCAAGCACGGCGACTGTCCGATGATTATTGGTTGTAATACAGCGCAGGACTCGAAACGGAGCTGAAAATACTGCGTGCGTTCACCTGGGATGCGATGGGGCAACGCGCTGGGATGCTTCGGGTCTATGTCGCGGGCGTGAAGAGGGATATCACGCCCAAAGACAAGGCAGAGGAGCACAACCCAACCTTCCTTACTGCCGCTGGATACAACACCCATTCCTGTTTCAACGAGCCAGGACACCTGCACCGATGTGCAAAAGCTGTCACTTCGTACGCCTTGAAAAGAGACAAAGAAGCGTGTCGAGCTCGAGATCTTGACTCCACGTCGCTTCACAAACGACTGCAAACCGACAAATGTACACTTGCTGTGATGTCCAGCGAGACCAAAAAGCGCGTCTCACGCCCTGCCAAGCAGGACCTCTTCGTCGCTGAAGCGGTGATATAGTCCGACACTACACTATACAATGCGTACGCATCACCCCCAAGGACGGTGGAGCTTTTGATGCTATTAGACAGTTGCCCTTCCAGTGTATACATGTATGACGCCACCCTCCAAGAGCAAAGCCTTGTCGCTCACGACAAGCCCAAGTGCGTCATGCGGATCGTCACACGGCGCTTTCCGAGCTCATCGACGCTCGACGCGCTGGCCGCGGTCGCACTGGCAGGTCGCTGGCCCTACCGTCAGCCCCATCGGTCACACAGCCAGCAATAACAATCGTCGACTACTAGTACCTGCGACCGCGGCCGCCGCCCAATCTTGGCAAACAGCACCGGAACGTCCGGCATGCGCACGATTGGCACGGGCTGTCCCGATAGGACGCTCGACGTAAAGTCAACTGGGTTGGTTGTCCGGAGCGAGCTCGTGGGCGCTGCCGACTTTGGCCGCGCGGGCGCCTTGGGATGCGACGCGTCCACCGTTGGCGCCAGCACCATGCGCCGGTACGTCGCGATAATGTCGTGGATCGATTCTTGGTTGGGAATGATGCGAGGCGGCCGCGTAGCAGGGACCGGCGCTGGGTCATGCGTGACGAATCGACCGCTGGTGTCTACGTACATGTCATTGCATGAGTTTTGATCGAGAGGTTCTTGCACCGAGGGGTAAATTGGGTGGCGGTGCGCGGCGGTGGTGGCGGTGGCCAGACGGTTTGGCCCGTCGCTCGGGCGTCGGCGGCCGGAGGTGGGCACTGGTGCTGAAGGGGCGCACGGCGCTTGTCGGGACGCTCTTGGGACGCATCTCGGCTAATTTTAGCGAGCCGACTGGATGGTTCGATCGATCGATACGACGTTTATAACTCCTTCATAGTCGTGCTTGCGAAGCATGGCTTCCACAGTCTTCTTACGAGATGACCCTTGCGGGTGTGATTGGAGATCACCACACTCTTCTGCATGACACCTGACGACGGCACGGTGTGGATGGACAATATGACAATATGTGAGGTTATAGTACAGTGTTCATGTTGATCGCTTACACTTGCAACAGCCATGCAAACGGCTCGACAGCGTCCATCGTCGCCAGCACAGCGTCCAGAATCGAGGCGTCGAGGAGCTCTTCCTTGACAGCACTTAGACCCACGTGCAGCGTCTTGTTAGCTGGGAACGCGTATGGCGTGGCGGGGCGGTGGCGCCAGCAATACCCGCCGCTCCGTGCGTGCGTTTTGCAGTCAGGAAAGTGGCACGGCCGGCCACCGCCGTGGCGGATGCACTTGCCATTGCGGTGCGCGATGCTAGCGCAGTTGTCAGTTGAGCAGTTGGGCTTGCCGCGGGCGGCGCCGTGACGCGAGCAGACGCCGTGGAGGCGCGCGTTGGCGGTGCACTCGCTCACGGAGCAGCGCCGCTTGCCGCCGTGGCGCACGCAGCGCGAGCGCGCAAACACTTGGTTGTGGCAGCCGGGCTCGATGCACGGGCGGCGGCTCTTGTGGAAGGCGCACTGCGTCCCGTTGGGCAACCGGGGGTTGGTGCACGCGTTGAAGAAGCAAGTCATGGCAATTGTGTAAGTGACGGCGAGCCCAACACCGAAACGATAGCGTATCGGTTCAGCACGACAGGCGGTCGAGTCCAACCATCGAACCAACCATCGAACCTGCTCGGGGCTACAGCCCGAGGGCATTCCCTGGCTAAAATCGAACGAGTACTAAGATGTAGCCAGGGTGGAAGCTGATTGCGATGGCCATACCACCTCGCTCGGTCGATGGTAGCGAGGGGCAGGCAGCAATAGCTCGTCGCAGCAGAGGTACGCACATTGGCACCTCGCGGCGGCGATGATATTCGACGCGCGCCACGAGGAGGCCAGCGCCGTATCTGACTCCATGCTGGCGCCTCTTACGTGGCGCACTGCAATGACTTTAACTTGAACTTGCATCTGCACTCTGATTGGCGCAGTGGTGCAACGTGGCTTGCCATGTTCCGGGTGCATACGCTACACGACAGTCGCACGACGACGCCGCGTGGCGTTATCGCGACAAGCACCCTTTGGCCGCTGGCATCAGCGCAGTGTCGAGGTGCTGGAGGCGATCCCATCGGAGTACAGTGTACCGTCTCTGCTTACGTCATACACCTTGCTTCAACGTGGCACTGGAAGATGGCTCATAAGTAGTTTCCAGGATGTGCGCTGCATTTTCCATGCCAGCGACGGCGAGACTGGAGGAGGTGGCAAATCGGAGATCCTGCATACGATCAGCCAAAACCTCTCAAACACGATCGGTCGGTCGCGTTCAAATCTGCGACTGAGGAAGCGAGCGTGTTTCTGTGCACGCCAAGCTGGCGCCAGTCTCAGTTTACAATTTGTGGTTTCGCGCCCGTCGAGAGTCGTTTGATTGGCCGCGTCGCGTGAGGCAACAGAGAAGGGCCCGGGATGGGCAACGTCGACCTCACGTTAGTAAACAGGCGAGCGCGCTGGGAACTCCTTCTCCTGCTGCCCATCGCCCTCGCACAAGGGAAGCAGGGTTGGATTGAGGTCTCCTTTTGCTCGGGCGTTC